ATATCAGAACCAGCCGAACCCGACAGCATTTCCTTAGCTTTAGATGTGCCATCTTCCTCACCATCTTGAGGCATGTTAAAGATCATAAGATTGCAAGATCTCTTTTGTCTCTCAGACACTTCATACAAAACACTGCCTTGCACCAATGTGGAACTGTAATTATTGTCGTTTTTTTATTTGATGTAGAGGTGGTATTTTTTATAAAGGTAAGATCCTTAAGGCCTTAGGTAGTAAAACTGGTTTTCAAACTCTTGACTTCATTGGTTACCTCACGAATCTGTTTTTCAAACTGCTCCATTTTTTGACAGTTTGCAATTTTGATTTCACTTAGTGTATCTTCTAATGCCTTTACACTGTTGGTTAGTGTAAGTGCCTTTTTGATTCCTGGCACGCAGTCACCACACAAATATTGCATAATTCGGTAAGTATATATGATAATGATATGGCATAATTCATAAGTAGACACCTTATCTCTGTCGAACTTGTCACAAGGGTAACTAAAAACTTCCCCTGTGCCTGTATGAGGTTCTTTAAAAATGCAGTTCTTCGAACATTTGCCTAAGGTTATTTCAACAAATATTCAACAGAATGTCAACAACTGTAAACCCTTTAATAAAGATAGTAAGTCACATCCCTGGTAGATGGTAATTACTTATCTATCACTATTAATTTGTCCTAATTGCTTCAAGTTTTTGTTTGAAAGAGAAAAACTAAAGATACAAACCTCTCATTGCAGTTATTGCTATTTACAAACAAATTGTGTTTTCAAAAAAGAAAGATGATCTTCATATACCTTGTAGTAATTATGCATATATTTATAAATTAATTGTAAATATTTATTTATTAACTATAGTTCATTTCCAACAAAAAAAAAAAACAGTTACATACCAGTTCGACATCTAAAATATGACACAACTTTGAGTTAATTTAACAGCCACAATTTGATTACGATTAACTAATTGGGTGTAAAATTGACCAGAAAGTACCGAAACTTATTTGATCAAGGTTTTTATTGATCCTTTGATTATATCTTTTAAGTTTTATTACTTTTATGACTTTTATTACTTTTTATTTTTGTTCTAGCATATATTTTTCTTTTAGTTAAAAATATTTTCTTACAATTTGGTTTTTATTTTAGCTGCTGCACAGGATATGAAAATGGAAGTTATCAAACCATTTAATGCTCCCAAAGTATATTTGAAAACTTTTACTGGTGAAAGACCTTATAAATGTGAAATTTGCAGTAAGCAGTTAACTCAACTAGGTAGTTTAAAGGATCATATGAGACTTCACACTGGAGAAAAACCTTATACATGTGAAATCTGTAGTAAGAGGTTTACTAAACTAAGTAATTTCAATAGTCATATGAGAGTTCATACTGGTGAAAAGTCTTATAAATGTGAAATTTGTAGTAAGCAGTTTACTTATCAAAATAGTTTAAATTGTCATATGAGAGTTCACACTGGAGAAAAACCTTATAGATGTGAAATCTGTAGTACACAGTTTACATACCTAAGTAATTTAAATAGTCATATAAGAGTTCATACTGGTGAAAAGCCTTATAAATGTGAAGTTTGCAGTAAACAATTTTCTAAACTAACTAGTTTAAAGGATCATATGAGACTTCACACTGGAGAAAGACCTTATAAATGTGATATTTGTAGTAAGCAATTTGCTCAAATAAGTGCTTTAGTTCATCATATGAGAATTCACACTGGTGAAAAACCTTATAAATGTGAAATTTGCAGTAAGCAGTTTACTCAGACAAATAGTTTAAAAGATCATATGAGAATTCACACTGGAGAAAAACCTTATAGATGTAAATTCTGCAGTAAGCAGTTTACCCACCGAAGTAATTTAAATAGTCATATAAAAGCTCATACTGGTGAAAAGCCTTATAAATGTGATATTTGTAGTAAGCAGTTTACTCATCAAAAGAGTTTAAATTATCATATGAGAGTTCATGCCGGAGAAAAACCTTATAGATGTGAAATCTGTAGTAAGATGTTTACTAACCTAAGTAATTTAAATAGTCATATAAAAGTTCATACTGGTGAAAAGCCTTATAAATGTGAAATTTGTAGTAAGCAGTTTACTCGTCAAAATAGTTTAAATTGTCATATGAGAATTCACTCTGGAGAAAAACCACATAAATGTGAAATTTGTAGTAAGCTGTTTACTATAAGAAGTACTTTAAAGCAGCATATGAAAATTCACAGTGATGAAAAACCATAAATGTGACAGTTTCTTTAAATAATTATATGCGATAATAAGAGATAAAGCAAGAGAAATGAGGGAAAATGGAAAAATGGTCAAAATAGGATACAATAAAATCACAGTAGACAGCAAGGAATGGAGATGGTGTTATAAAGAAGAAAAAGTAGTGGAAATAGAGTGTTCAAAAAATTACCAGAGCAACATAAAAAGAGCCAAGGAGAGGTCAAGCAATGAATAGAGAAAGAAGAATTACTAATTAAACCAGACAATGATGATAAATGTTTAGTTTTAAGTAGTAATAGGAATATGATTAGAAATGTAAATGATAAATATCCCATTAGAAATATTACCTGTGATAGGAATATGGGTATTACGCATACTAATATCAACAGTAGTGATAAATTATAGTTAGGGGGAATATTAATAATGGGCATAGCATTAGTAATGAAGGTAGGGAAAAATTAAATGTTAGTATTAAAAATAAAAATGGTAATAAAATAAATAACGGATATAATGTTAACACAAAAGCCAGGGAGCATGAAATCAACGATAACACCAATAATGGAGAAGAAGAATATAGTAATAAGGAAATACATCATAACAAGACAAATCATATAGGAATAGTCACATGGAATGTGACATCTCTGACTGACATTTTATTTTAAATTGTTGAGAGTTATTTACTTACTATTTTAGTAAAATGCAAAATGAAATAATTATTTTATCAAAATAATTATTTCTCTTATAGACGGGACAAAAAGAAATCATAAATATTTAATTTTAATTAAAAAAATAATTATTGTCATTAACATTTAAATGAGGACGCCGCTGTTCTGGTAAACATACCTTCAACCTTGAGCGGAGATCTTTCGGACACTCGATTATATAGCGAGAATAGGGGACTGCTTAGTCTATATTATTATACGTCATTGGGGACAAACTATAACATAACCCAACTAAATGTGATTTATTAAACAAGGAAAGATTCTCTTTCTTTGTTTAATTTGGCATCTCAAGATGGCATTTCCTGTCTAACGATATTTTTGCCCCCACTACCTTTACATTCCCTCTTTTGTCTTTTTGCTCGATGATCCTAAGGCTCGCATGAGGAGACAGGCAAATTATTGTCACCCCATTTTCGCGTGCTTTATCAATTGCTGGTGCACCCTCTGAGAACTTTGAACTGGGAATTATGATCAGAGGAGGAACAAATATTCGACTGGCACTCATGCAGATTACAGCAGTAGAAAGCTACCCTCGTTCTGCAGATGTTAGGGTGCCGACCTGTTTTCTATCCTTGACAGCAATCACTTTTGATGGACGACCTTGAACTGTTGTAATCCCGGTTTCGGTAACGTTAAAAATACGGGAGGGTGGAAAGTTCATTTTTTCTTGAAGAGGATCCAAAATGTAAAAAAAATGATGAAACAGCTTCCTTGTTAAACCCTCGAGCACGTGTAGATGATGTTGCTTCAGGCAAACGGAAGGAAAGTGTATTCCGTTTCAAAAAAGCGCGATGACATTCCCACCCAGCCAACGTGGTGTTTTTGTTGAAATTATGTTTGATGTTGTTTTTCTTTGCCATCTGATATGCCAAGCATGGAACGAGTTGTAAGACCGAACATCATAGTTTCCATATTCTGTGAATATGTTATCAATTGCTGCTCCAACTCTAGAGGAAATGTAGGCAGTCGGCTTCCAAGTACTTTAGAATGACCTGTTGAGGATTTATTTCTTCCTTTGAACCTTGTTTCCCCTTTGATCCTTTGTTTCTTTTAGAAATTCACAAGTTCCTTTTTTTAATGCTTCCAGAGCGCTGGCCATAGATTTTTCAGACAATTTTTGACGCTCAGTCTTTCGTTGGTAATTTCTAGTCATTTAAGTCTTTTACCAAGATGGTTGTTTATCGCCTTTCTCTTTAATTCGTTTTTTTCTTTCCGCATATAGAAATTTAGCGTAGATTAGCTCATCTTTAATGGTGATTAAAACACATGTTCACTGTAAATGTTTACGTTCTTTGTATGACCTGCCACGCCAGTTTTAATTACAATGCTGATTTTTTATGAATGAGACCAATGAAAAAGGAAATATACCTATGTCATTATTTTTATTAATTTTTTTTCTATATGTACCTAGTGCAGTGTAGTGTTAGTGTTTTTTTAAAGGGCACATCCTTTAAATTTTGTTTATTTGAATAACTTTCGTTTTTTTTTATATAAAACGCTAACTTTGTATGTGGATGGTAAGAAACGAAAATGTTCTCTAACTACATATCATGATATGATAATGATCAAGGTAAATTTAAATTTTTCATTTCTTTAAGACCTAACCTTCTTTATTGATATCATCTTAAACATAAATTTTTTCACTAGGTTATGGAGAGAAATTAATATTTTAATATTGTAAAAATATGTCATTTATGACATTTCTGTTTGTAAGATATAAATTAATATATCCATTTAAATTGATGTTTCAGTTAGTAATAAATACAGCTGGTTATGACTTTGTGTTGTTTAATTTCTCTGACAATGACAATATTCCTTTCTTGTGGGTAATAACTAAATTCTGACAGGAATTGTCACAGACCAAACAAGGTAAGTTGTAGCATAAATAATTTCTTTATAACTAGAGACTTGATTATATGTTCTAAAAAATGGTTAATATATGCATGCAACATGCACTTTAAAATTAACCAAATATGCCTTTATTATATGCATTTATATATGCACTAAAATTTTTTTTTTTAATTTTTACCTGAAAAAGTAAGAAATAAAAAAGTCCTTATTAGTTATTCTTTATTCACGAAGTAAAAAAGTAACTATGGGTTTTGTATGAAATAAAATTAGCTGCGTTTAATTTTTCTCTAGCCTGATTGATATCGTCTTTTATAGCGTCGATTAATGCTTCTAAAGAGTTAAAATTTTTCTCCTGACGTAGGTAACCTAAAATAACTATCCGTATCTCCTTCCCATAAAAGTCAGAGTCGAACTCGTGTAATACATGCACTTCCATTGATTTCGTTTTATTTTTATAAAATGGATTCCAGCCAATACTCATTACCATTTTATAAACCTCTCCACCATTCACCGAAGCAAAACCATAGTAAACGCCAGTGTCCAAATCGTCTGGGAGCTGGTTGACTGCTTCCATAGGAAGATTTGCCGTGGGAGTTCCTAATTCCTTTGAGCCCCGACCAAATCCTTTTACCACTTCACCTTTTGCAAAATGTGGTAAGGGCATTGTCAAACAAAACACAACCTTATTAAAACCACTTGTTAAATTGGAGATACACACACCACTTACGTCTTACGACTCTTAACTCTAACCTAAAATTTTCGATTATTTTCCGACTCAGAACCTCAGAAGTGCCCTGTTAATAAACTTAAGTACGGTTCTGTGTTGCTATTTTGATCTGTAAAATCACTCTACTGGACCTCTTATAATAACTCAATAAAGTAAAATAAAAAAACGTGAATGTACTATCTTTGTTATAAATAATCTCATATCAATATTAGATAAGAATGTTAACTGTAAACGACGATAAAAAAGTAAGTAATTTGTTTTTATTTACATTTGAATGTCCTCTGAGTAACCTTTTATCAAAACATTCAACTTGGATACTCCTTTCCAATTATTACTTTTGTCGTTTAAATAATCAATAGATATAATATCATACTATCAACATCTTTACATTATGTAGTCACTTTTCTGACAAGTTTCTATATATTCAATTAGAAGTTTGAAGAATGTTTCATAAACATGAATTTATTATTGGTAATAATATTTGGTGCTAATTTTTTTATATAACTTATAAATGCCACATCCTTGTTGCCTACACATTCTTGATTATTACTACTTATCTAAATTTTACTCCATAGTGTGTCTGTTTTTAAAAGATAGTGTACCTACTAAAAATAACATAGGGTAAGGTAGGGAAATTGGATCATGATTTTACAACAAACCTGCATACAATTTTAATTCTGTTAACCTTTATCTGTCTTCAGTTAATTGGGATGCATTATACCATTGTAATAATATAAATGAGGCTTGTCAAATATTTTGCAGATTATGTATCAGTGTTTAGATATTGTTGTTCCTATGAAGGCTGTCAAGTGTTCCTACAAGTTCCCAATTTGGTTCTCAATAAAACTTAAAGATCTTATTATTCAAAAGAAAAATGCTCATCTGAGGTTTAAATTATCTAAATCAAACGAGGACTATTTATTGTTCTCTAATCTGTGTGATCAATGTAAAGTTGAATATACACTTTGTCAGAGACAACATTTTTCGTCTCGAAAAAATTTTTAGTAATAACCCCAGGGAATTTTGGGGATACATTGGCAGACTTCGTAAATCTTCAAGTTACCCCCAAGAAATGTATCTCAGTGACAGAAGGGCACAAGGCAATATCGAAATTTCTAACCTTACTGAGTTCTTCTCTAGTGTATATGAGAAAGATAAAGGTGCTCCCATTCCAGATTTTGAAAACTGTATCAGACACATTGACCCTGTAAACCTAATTCAAGTTGACACTATATCAGTGTTTGATGAATTAAGAAAACTTCCAAACAAATTCTCCTCGGGCCTGATGGAATTCCACCGGTATTATTAAAGCACTATCTATGCTCTCTTACTATGCCCCTAAAATATCTTTATAATTTATCTGTTATGACTGGCGAGTTCCCTTATTTCTGGAAGAACAGTTATATTGTACCCATTTTTAAGTCAGGTAAAAGGGAAGATATTGAAAAATACCGCGGAATTTGTATACAGTCAGCAATCCCAAAACTTTTTGACAAGCTAGTGACTTCTCACTTATCAAAACTAACAAATAATACCCCAACAGCATGGCTTTCAAAGGGGGAGGAGCACAGTGTCAAACTTGTTGGTCTACCAAGATGATATATTGGGTGCCTTCGAGAGGAAGTACCAGGTGGACAGCATCTATACTGACTTCTCAAAGGCATTCAATAAAGTAAATCATCATTATTTAATCAGTAAATTAGGAGCCATTCATATAGCTGGCAAATGGCTTGATTGGTATGATAGTTTTCTTGTGGGTAACACCCAGAACATTAAGATAAATGGTGTGTTGTCTCAATCTGTTGATGTCCTCTCTGAAGTATCACAGGGGTCACATTGTGGTTCTCTACTTTTTGTCCTCTTTGTTAACGATGTTGACAAAGTCATTAAGTATTCAAAATTTCTCAACTTTGAGACACAGTATGATCAAATTCAGCTACAAGAGGCTCTCAGCAGATTTAGCGGTTGGTGCAAACTAAATGAATTAAAATTGAACATTGATAAGTTTTGTGTTATTAATTTTCACAGGAAACAAACAATTTTAAATTACAATTATAGCATTGATAATATTCAGCTGTCTAGGCAGGACTGTGTTAAGGATATAGGTATTTATTTTGATTGTAAATTAGTATTTCGTAACCATCTAGAGGTCAGAGTAAACAGTGCGTGTAAACAATTAGGGTTTATAACTCCATACCTCGGAGGTAAAGGACACTATTTCCATTTTCTTACTTTTTAAGGAGAGCAGTTTTAACATTTTTTAAATTTGTAATCAGTAAATACTCAAATGTTTCTGATATTTAACCAAAATTAATATAATATATTAATAATAGAAACATTTGAGTATTTACTGATTACAAATTTAAAAAATGTTAAAACTGCTCTACTTAAAAAGTAAGAAAATGGACATAGTGTCCTTTACCTCCGAGGTACGGAACTAAAAACACTTCTCAATTTTCATGTTTTGTTTTACCAATTCTTTTTAATAGTCTCATTAGCTCCAGACTAGAATATGCAATAGTTGTATGGGGATCTTACTATCAAACATCTATAGACAAGCTTGATCATGTTCAGCATAAATTTGGTAAACACTATCATTACTCTAGTGCTTTTCATGACCTCTCTGTCCCATACAGTTAGGCATACTAGGCATACTTCGTTCTTTCATCTACCATTTCATACAAAAATGTCCGCATTGGGCTAGTGAAAATCCTTATTAGAGGATTCAATGTCATAATAATTTGCAGAAAATTGCTAATTTATAATACCAAATAAAACTAACATCTACATCTGTATCATATCTTTAATACAACGAAATTTTTTTTATAAAGTTTGAACATAAAAAAATGCTACTTGACGTTTAACTTGAGCTCTTGCATGAGAAATACCTTCAATCCATTAATTATTATTTCCTTTATTGTCTTGTTAGATTTAACGAATGTTGAGAGACAAACAGGTTCTGCAGGTGTGTACGTGGAAACGATGTTATTTATCTGAAATACCAATTTTTGTTTGGACCTAAGGCAAAGATCGTCTGTTAAAACATTTGCCACTAATTTGGTTCTGTATCTTTTTGAATGTTTGAAATGTGCAGCTGCAACAAAAATTCCTGCTGCGACACCTAAAACATACAGTTCAATGCAATTCACTCCCAAAATAAAATAAAATAAGTAAAATAATACAAAGTGAAGTGCATACTCAGATATTTACATATTTCAAGATAACCTTCATATAAATTCAAAACCCTAAACCGAAATGTTAAGTGCAGAAAAGAAGGGAGGGTGTTTGTTGAATTTATAGTAAAAAACAATTTTCTCCTTTTTTGTTTACAAGTTTACAAATATTTTTGGGAAAATCATTTAGATGAGATGTCATTTACGGGGAAAATTAGCCATTTCACTACCACGCTGGCCAGTGCGGGTTAGTAGCGGGATATATCGGGATGTGATAAGGATTGGAAAATGGGTAGGACGATAGGTTAGGTAGGGGAATGCTACCCGCTACCTTACAAATGAATATAGTGAAATCAAAATATCGTAATCGACTAACTGACAAACATCTGTTTTCGTGTTTGCGTTTGGTCCTCGGTAATTATGTACCATCATATGAAATACTTGTGGATGATATGCACTGCCATGTATCTTTTTTTTTATTGAGTTAATGCCTCGATAACTATGATCATTGGCATGGTACAGTCAGGTACCTAGTGTAGTGTGTGTGTGTATGTGTAGAGTAATTGTCTTGATACTTAGCAAAGTCGACGTCATTGTCTTTGCTAAGAGACGCTAATTCTATCCGAACGTCTGCGGTCCCTCCGGTGAGTACCGATCGCACAAGGATAGAAAATATCAACATCCAAATAAAATTAATATAAAAAACAATTACAGCTCTCTGTAGTTACAACTTTTTATCTATTAGAAATACAGGGTGAGTCATAACTATTTGGACATAGACTAAGGACAGGTTATTTGGACCAAAATCTAATAGAGAGCGCCACATATGCCACATACGTGGCATACATTTAAACTTAACTTTTTTGTTCTTCAAGTTACCGGTATTCTTGATAAAAAATATTAAAGATACGTCATTTTACCAAAAAAATGGTATACTTGTTAATAACTTCAAAACTCAACAGTTTTCGAGATAATCGCATTTTACAAATCAACTGCATGATTGTAATTTAACACAATTACTCCAGGTAATGAAAGAAAACTAGATAAAAACATCAATACTTCTGATCTGATAAAAATTACTTATTATACTTAAAACAACTATAATAAATACTGCAGCAGTTTCTTTAGAACCAATGATGCTATTTAGTATGAGACGATATTTTATGGAATGTATTGACAAATGAATTAAAGAAAATACTGGACATATCGAACACTTACTTTGACAAAAAGTTTAATGTTATTTAGTTTAATTATTTTTTAATTTGGTTTGTAAATAAAATGTTTTGATTTTGACTTTAATTTAATACAAAACGTAAAATGTTTGATGTAAAATCCAATTATTCTGTTATTTTATCAAATCCTATTATTAATTATCCTGCTGATATATTTATTTTATTTAATATTTCGTTAAATATTGACTTTATTAAAGGTATTTAATAACAAAATTCAAAAGTATTGATGTTTTTTATCTATTTTTCTTTCATTGCCTGGAGTAATTGCGTTAAATCAGAATTATGCAGTTGATTTGTAAAATGCGATTATCTCGAAAACTGTTGAGTTTTGAAGTTATTAACAAGTATACCATTTTTTTGGTAAAATAACGTATCTTTAATATTTTTTATCAAGAATACTGGTAACTTAAAGAACAAAAAAGTTAAGTGTAAATGTATGCCACGTATGTGGCATATGTAGCGCCCTCTATTAGATATATTAAAGTATGCATCAAATTATAATTTCTGATATTCAATAGTACCCAGCTGTAAATTTTTATACATAAATGTTTACAAACATGAAAGTTATAGCCAAAAAAAAAAAAATTTAAATTTCCACTTTAGCACCCT